TTTTTTTTTTTTAACCGCCAGTACCTATGGCAGGTACTGGTGGTTTAATAGAAGGGGCCCTGAGGGCTTCATCCTAACCCTTAAACCGGCAGGAGCGGGGGGGTGGAGCGCTAGTACCGGGCGAGTAGCATTAGCGCTCCGGCCGCTCGCGTCGCCGCGTGAAATTTTCTCGCTGTTTCACACGGCGCTGTTCGCAGCCCGCCAGGGATGCGTTTTCCCCCCTGAGACATTTCAACGTCAGTCAAAAATTTCAACGTCTGTGGTCATCAGGAGGGTGGTCATTTTTTGGTTTCGGGGCCTAGCAAGGGGCGCAGAGGCGTAGGACCGCTGTTGAGGTGCTCGTCGGGCTTTTGGGAGGTGGTAGTAGTGAAAACATCGCCGTTGGCGGTAGTTGGCGAAACGGCGTTTTGGTCCTTGGACCTTGGGCACGTAAAATTTTGGCGGTCGCCGAAACGGCCCTTGCGCATTGTTGACGTTCTGGGCCTTGGACCTTGGGCACGTAAAATTTTGGCGGTCGCCGAAACGGCCCTTGCGCATTGCTGACGTCGTGGAAACGGCACAATCGCGCAAACGTCGCCCTTCGCCCTTGCAACTTTCGCACAAATGGCAGCCAGGCGTTGTTGCATGGTGGGTTGCTCTCTCTCTCTCTCTCTCTCTCTCTCTCTCTCTCTCTCTCTCTCTCTCTCTCTCTCTCTCTCTCTCTCTCTCCCTCTCTCTTGTACGATGATGATGTATGTTGAGACTGCATTGCAACATTGATTGTTCAGATCATTGGTATCTCTGTCTTCCGCTACGCTGTACGTACACACACACACACACACAAACACACAGACACACATACACACATACACACACACACGTCTGAAAACCAGATGTGTTACCCTTGAACTGTTGAAATAAGGACCCTTTGTCTCTCTCTCTCTCTCTCTCTCTCTCTCTCTCTCTCTCTCTCTCTCTCTCTCTCTCTCTCTCTCTCGCACAGGCCGATATGTATGTAGGGTCTGGCTCCATTACTCTCCACATGCACATTAGACAAAAAATATGGCGGTGCATCTTTCCATGTTCTAGCGGCAGATTCGTTCTCAATTTGCACATTTGGTGAGTGCTAGAGTGAGGCCCATACAGTAGGCAAAGCCGAAAAGTCAGAACCGACCGAGGAGTTGAGCGCGAATCAAAGCGTCCAAGTGGCTGCCACGTGTGCTTGAGAGTGCAGGCCCTGGGAACGGGGAGAGGGCGGGGGTCACCCGTCTTACCCGTCTTCCCCCGAACATAACGCACCCTGATTCTGAATGTATGCAAACCATCTTTTCAGTCGGATGCAGTCATAATGAGGGTGCGCTGTGTTCGGGGGAAGACATAGGCTCGTTTGTTCATGTAATATATATGTGTTTTGTCGTCAATCGGTCAAGGAGATATCTCGTTGATGCGGGAAAGAAATGAGGCTTGACGAGGGAGTGGGGGGGCGGAGGGGAGTGAACGAAGGGGAGAAGGCAAGAGAGTGTGATCAGACCAGATGGATTAGCTCGGTGAAGACAGGGAGAGGGAAGGGGCGCTTACCATCAGATCACAGGAAAGAAGAGCCATAGCCGAAACACTACTTGACATGGTCTTGCCGAATGCTACTGACGAAGATGAGGGACGTGGCCTCGACGCGTAGCTAGCTTTTGCACACCCCGCTGCCTCTTCTTTTTCGTCAAGGAAAGCCGTCTTTGCTATTTGTATGCTTTGTATTTTTTTCGAATTTTATTATAGTTTTCGAACTTTTTTTGCTCGTACCATGAGAAATAACCGTAATCATTATATTATTTTATTTAATTTTCTTGTTATTGAATAAATACATTTTAAATCTTATTAATATATATTATCATACAAAACTATACCCAAAAAAGTATAAACTGAATAAAATCTTTGCGATCGAATTCAAATATTTGTCATAATTGAGCACGTCGAGCATATTTTTTCACAGTAGCAGGTTTCACACTCTCTTCCCACCATCCATTCATCTACTTGTCAAATATCTTTGCACATACTGATGTACAGATCGATGTGTACATGGATACTAGTAATCAGTGTGTCACATACATTGGGATGGAGTAATCAATCACACCATACTTCTTTCCACCGACTCTAGATCTATGAATTCTCTCTTCTTCTTGGTGTAGTAAATGATGACTTTCAGTCTTCTTCGTGTAGCTCCCGCTCTTTGGCTACGCGCCAAAGAGCTGTGACTGATTCTGACGCGCGTGCGCCGTGCTAATCGAAGCGCAGAGGCAAGGATGGTCTTACACAACTAGCATCGGGGAGGAGTTGTCTGCTTGTGTACTCTCTCTCTCTCTCTGGATTTATTATTTTCTGAAAATCGAATCTCCATTTCTATCTTGTAATGTTTTCAAACCAAAATCTTCTGAAGCCTATCAGCAGTTAGTTCTTTTAGCCATATTATGACATTGTCATTTTCGTTCAAACAGGACTTACTTATTTTGCGAATCAAAACGCGATGGGCTTTGCCAAAACGAGTCTTTCTGGCTCGCCCTCTTGTGATGTCTCTTTAGTCAGTTGCGTTCACTTTCGGCGACTTGGTAGACGTGTCTCGTCATTATGTTGTCCTTCGTTCTCTCCCTTCCCTTTGCTCAACCCGTTTCCTTCCGTGTCCTTCCTTCTCTTCAAAACCTCCTGTTCTTTCTTTCTTTTTCATTCTCTTGCCTGGGGTTTATGGAACTCGAGAGGCCTCAACGATTACATTGTATTATTTTGAACTCCTTTGGCACTTGGCTTGTCACGCTCAATTTCACGTACCGCCTCTATAGTCAAGGAAAAGATGGCGGCGATCTTCTGATTGATTGCCAATCATGCCTTGGTGGGTGATTAGGGTTGGAGACGGTTGCTGATGATGGAGAATGGACGGTGGAAGGAGGTGGTGTTGGTCTTGAGGAACTTGCGTTCTGTCTTGTACGCTTGTGTACTCTCTCTCTCTGTCAATTTCTTTCACAAATCTATGTTTGGTTCCTTTGGATTTCAGATGTTTATTATCATCCGGTGAGACAGACGTGTCAGGTTTTGCGCTGTGATTGCTTGTGTCTATTGTTTTTCCACGTGTTTATTTGCTGTATAGTTCGTTCTTGCGCATTGATTACCTGTTCAAGCTCCTCCTCATCGGAGATTCAGGAGTGGGGAAGTCATGCCTTCTCCTTCGGGTCGCCGTGAATGGCTTTTTGTGCCTCACGCGTTGTTACAGCCAGTCTTGTCCTTTTCTTCCTCAATGCCTATATTTTTTTCAATGACTCTCCGTGTATGTAGGGTTCTGACTCCTGAGGAGTTGGTAGGTGAAACGTCAAGGAAACAGTTTGTCACAACCACTCCCTCGTTCGTGGTTCTCTTCTCCCTCTCTCTCTACCTATGGTTTACTGAGTAGTTTTGTGTGACGATAAACTATGATTGAGAGTGTGTGACAATATGTATCTTCTGACACACAGGGATGGGGGCAACAGTCAGCAGTCAACGTGTGTCATCCACGTCGCTGGCCTTGTACGTAAGAGGTAGGTGATGAACACGTGGTCCTTCCCTTGTTTTCCTTTTTTTGTTTTGTCTTTTTCCGCCTTTGCGCTCTGATTCCCTGTGTGACAAAGATATATAGATGAGTCGATGAAACTCCGACGAAACAGTTTATCACAACCCCTTGTTTATTGTCCTTGTATGTATGTGTGTGTCCTCCATCTATGGTGGGGAGCATCACCTGCTGGAAAGCGGGTCCAGCGTCCCTAGAATACATCTCATCTTGATTTTCGTTCATTGAGTAGGGCGTTCTATTCGGTTGAAGACAGTAGTGGTGGCGGACCACACTGTTCGCTCTCTTTGGGGTAAACAAATGCAAAGGTTGTCACGGGCGGTGGGCAGAGATGAAGAAGGGAGGGGGAGGAAGGACGGGAAGGAGACAAGGCGGGGGAATAGGATCTACTAGTACTACCTTTTTGCAATGTGTACGTCCATAATGAGTGTGATGAGTGCATTACCTTAGGAAAACTCAGGTAGGTGCAGAAGACAGAGCGGATGATGAGCGCTACTTCAACAAGTGATATAAGACGTATGGATATCAAGTATTTCATCAATTTCGTAAAACGAGCACACCAACCGCAGTGTTTTTTTTTTTTAAGACTGGCACTGTCTTTCTGTGTGAGCAACAACCCTTCACACCCTTGTACGATAATAATGTATATTGAGAGTGCATTGCAACATTGATTGTTTGGGTTATTGGTATCTCAGTCTTCCGCTATGCTGTCTTATACTTTGTGAGAGAGGTCGGTTCTTCTTCTGTCTTGCACCTTTACGGTATGCAACAGTTTGCTATTGGAGCGGACCTCTCAATCGGAGGATGCACTCAATCAGCTAGCTAGTTTGCTTCATCTATTCATCTTTGATCTGTCTTTTGCAACAATATCTGAAAGTCTGTGATCGTAGCATTTCC